TTGACTTATTGACTGCTCTTGTTATGATTGCAGAATCAATTGTGGAATATAATTAAAAGACCAGCAATACCTTTACAAAACATTTACGATCATTTAGTTTTCAGCAGGAGTGCGCCCTCCATTGAATGGAATGGAATTTTCACATGTCAAAGAATGATACTGGCTAAACACTTCAAAACATGCACAAAAAGTAACTAAAATATGTATCAAGGGCCTAAAGAGAGTAATATTGCAAAAATCTTGTACAAGCAATAAAAAACAAAACAGATAAATAAGATTTTGAAACATGAGCAACTTTTATTCATCAAAGGACTTAATCAACAAAGTGAAAAGACAATCTACAGATTGAGAGAAAATTTTGTGGAACCATATGTCAAGATTTACTATCTAGAAGTCCTACAATAATCTAAAAATTAACAACAGACTTGAACTGACATTTCACCAAAGAGGATACATGAATGACTAACACACAAAGGAAAAAAATTCATTGTTCACTGGTTTTTTATTATTTACTATTAAGTTGCAACCAACTCATAGCTAACTCTCCAGTGTGTTTTCAGAAGCAGTAAATTGCCTGGGAGGCGACTGCCAATCTTTCTTGCACACAGCAGCTGGTGGAATCAAATCATATGCCTTTGGTGTGGCAGCACAAATCTTTACCACCAAGCCAACAGAGGTCCCAATGGAGTTACAAACCAGAACCATAATGAGTTACCATATTACCCAAACTAGATGGCTACCATACCAAACATTTAAAGTGGAAAATCATCACCATTTTTAATGAAATGATGGTGAGAATGCATGATGGTCCAGCTGCTGCAGAAAGGAATGGTCATTCCTTACATGGGTAAACCATAACAACTAGAGATCTTAATCTTAGCTTTCCGGGCCATAGCACTGAAAGCTAGAATGCAAAGAGACACCTGTACACTAACGTTCACTGTAGCACGACCCACAACTGTCTTTAAAAGATAGACGCAGCAAGCAACAAATGCTGGCGAGGTTGTGGAGAAACTGGAACCCTGATTCACTGCCGGTGGGAGTGTAAAATGGTGCAACCCCTGTGGAAGGCAGTATGGTGCTTTCTCAAAAAGTTGCAAATTGAGATACCATTTGACCCAGCAATTCCACTACTGGGTATATACCCCAAAGAGAGCATAACTGACATCCAAGTAGATATATGCACACCCATGTTTACTGCGGCTTTGTTCACAATAGCAAGGAGTTGGAAACAACCTAAGTGCTCACCAACAAACGAATGGATGGAGAGCTCTGGTATATTCACACAATGGAACACTACACTGCATTGAAAAACAAGGAACTCATGCAACATTATTCAAAATGGGTGACTCTGGAGGACATTATGCTGAGTGAATTATCTCAGTCAAAAAAGGATAAATACTACATGGTGCCACTGTTGTAAAACAAGACTGACCTGCGGGTTGGGGAGAGACTGAGAAAGATGAGTTCAATAATGTATACTGCATTGAAACAGATGAGGGAGAAAACTGTTTAAAAGGGATATGTGATTAGGTATTTTTGTCATGACAGGAGTCAAGCGAGAAGGCTACATGGTGGAGTGCACCTGGGGGAGGGTTTGTAAAACAATGAAAGAATTTTTCTTTTACTTTTCCAAGAGGATAGTGTACTGGGGGGGAGGGTTAGGAGGGGAGAAAAGTGCAACAATGAATGAATGGAAATCCAAAGTCTCTGTAAATTTTTACTGAAATTAATAATAAACTTTAATTTAAAAAAATACATATTAAAAAAAATAGACGCAATCTAACGATCTATCCAATCAACAATGTATGTGGATTATTACACAGCCAGAAAGATAAAGTCCTCACACATGTTTCAATAAAAATAAACTTTGAAAATAATATGCTAAGTAAAGTTAAGTCAAAAAGGACAAATATTACATAATCTGAGTTCTATGAAACAGGCAAATGTATACAAGATCTTTGGTTGGTACTGAGGGTAGAAGGGAGTCATTGCTTAGGGGAGAGTCTGCTGCTAGTGGTAGAACAGTTTAGAAAAGCGCAGTCCTAATAGCTGCCCAACAAGATGAACATCAATCAATCGGTTTTTCAAAAAATATATTTTAACACAATAGGCAAAAATTGTTAAAAAGGAATCTAAACTGTAAGGAATCAAAGATGTAAAAGCTAATGGTTAAGGAAATTAAATGCCAATTTGGAGAAAACAAAGTAAACAAAAATTTGAAAATCCTAAAAGAGAAATGGCCTAATGGCAAGAAGCTGCACTACAATACCAGAGGTGCATGGTTCAAATCCACCAAGATGCTCTGCTGGAGACAGAGGAACAATCTTCTCCTGTACCGGTCAGATCCAATTTGATGGTACACTCATACACAATAAAAAAATACAATTTAAAAAAAAAAAAAAAGGCAACTAGTAAAACGTGTATGAGGTTCTAAAAGGAGGAGGAGGAGCAGAAAGGTGGGGATAGAGAAGTTAATTATTGGGTCACAAGATTTGATAGATCAAGGTGTGCAGGTTGGGGAGGTGGGGAGATCTAGTGTGAGAGGCAAGGTATACAAATTTTGTAGGTAAACCAGCGTAAAATTTAAAAAAAAAATTGCAAGAAATTTTGAAAAGTATATCATTTCTTACTAATGAGTTCCTTTAAAACAAATCAACCTTGAAACTAAAAGGTCCAGAACTGCTCTAAAACAAAGATAAGAAAGTCAAAGAAGAAGGGAAACCAGAGTACATTTTTAAAAATAGTACAAACTGAATGGAATGAGACTGAATATCTAATAGTAAAAATATAAACCAACATCACTGAATAATTCACAAAGAAATAAGTAAATAACCTAATGTAATATAGAAATTTTCATCTTATACATAAAAAATATTGTTTTTAAAAAATATATATCAACTGCACATGGAGCATGCACCATGAGAGGCCATCATTATAAAGGAAATATTAACAGGCTTTAAAACTATCCCAAGAACATGATCTAAAGACAGTTCAAACCTGGAACTGGTGCCATTTCCAGAGACCACCTTTCAACCGAATTATAGGTCCATAAATAACCACTCAAGAGGAATTTGTTCCTTAGAGCAATTAATTCATTTTATGCAATTAAAATCATAGCAGAAATGGAAAACATTTTTTGCTCTGTAAACTTCCACCTGTTGTTGACTGTCATAGAGTTGAGTACAACTCCTAGCGACCCTAAGAACAAAAGGCCAGAAACCTTTCAATATCGACATTTATCAAAATTCATAGAGCTTCCAGAGGCATGTTGTTTAGGAAGTGGACTTCCACCTAACGTACAATAAAAAAATTTTTAGAAAAAGTCAAATCAAGGACATTTTCAAGTAATAACAAAATTACACTAAACATCAGTAATATAAAAATGTCTGTAAATGCCTAAATATTAAGAAATAAATGGACTTACTGGGCTGATAGAGACCAAAGAAAATCCCTAATACTAGCACCGTTTAAACTTAGTACTGAATTTTAGCTAAATAAAAAAGACTGGCTCAGGCGAGCTCTGGTGGCCTAGTGGCAGGAAACTGCACTGTAATCTTAGAGGTGCGCAGTTCAAATCCACCAGATGCTCTGCTGAAGAAGGAGGAGCAATCGCCTCCTGTACCAGTCAGATCCAATTTGAAATTTCATTTAAAAAAAAAAAAAGACTGGCTCATAAAATAAGCAATATTGCTCATAAGCACACCTCTAAAACAAAGAAAGAATTACACGAAATAGGATCTCTCAGTCAAGTTATTCCAAAGCAAAGATGGGGGAGGGGAAGGGAGTAAGTTAGATTAAAGGAAATAGAACAACCAGAATAAAAAGGAAAAAAAAATGTTGGCATACTGCAAAAAAATGTAATCAATGCCACTGAATACTATGTTTACCCAAACTGTAGAGTCAATTCTGACTCATGGTAATGCACTATACTCCCCTTCCTACTCCTAGACTCCATGAAACAGAAGAGAATAGAAGTAAAGAAAACACCAGCCTTTTAGACCTCGAATTTCATAAAAATTTTCTATGAAATTGGGTTACTGACACATAAGCATTGTTTGTAAACAATATTATTACTTTTTCTTTTCTCTAGCTTTTAGTTGTTGTTAGATGCCATAATGTTAGCTTTGCCTCAGTGACCATGGGGCACAGAAGAGTAAAACCCTGCGTGATCCTGAGCCATTCTCATAATCCCTAAGGTGCTAAAACCCATTGCTGCAGCCACCATGCCAATTCATTTCCTTTGCGGTCTTCCTCTTTTTCACTAACTCCACTTTTCCAAGCATGATGTCCTTCTTCAGGGACCAGTCCTTCCTGAGAGTGTGCCCAAAGTCTTTGAGAGAAGTCTCACAGCCTTGTTTCTACCTCCAAGACAGAATGTTCTTTTGGCAATTCTGGTATTCATATTCTTCACCAAGAGCAATCCAAAGGCTTCGATTCTTGATCTCCCTTATTCACTGTCCAACTTTTAGATTCCTATGAAGCAACTGAAAATACCATGATGTCCTGGCTCTTTAAAGAGGTCCTTGGAAACAGATTTGGCTATTGTTATAGATCTTTTGATTTCTTGAATTCCATGAGTGTTGACTGTGGATCAATCAAAGTAAAATGGAAATCCTTGACAATTTCAATCTTTCCCCCCATTTATTAGGATGCTGTTAATGCTCTAGTTATTATGTGCCATAGCATCAACTGTGATTCACTCATAATGATCCTAAGAACTCACTATCGCCAACACACTTGGACCCATTATTATAGTCACTGTGTCAATCCAACACACTGTAGGTCTTCCTTTTAGGTTATTCTCTACTTTATGAAGGACTTCTACAAGACGGGCCCTCCTTACACCATGCCCAAAGTAGGTACTATAAATTTGCTCTAGTATGCCCTATGAAATTTGTATTTGTAAATCAACTAGATGAGACTACAGCTATGGACTAGGAATAAAATACCTATACACACAAGCCACTACCAAGTCCCAAAAAATATTTTCTACTGACCTTAAAATTTGGAGAAAAGTATCGGTTGGCCTTGTCTTTATTTGCTTTGTCAAGATCATTTTTTGTTAAAGTAAGTACTAGATATTCCTTGTCATTATCTGCACGCTCTATACTGCAAATACTATCAATTTCTTGATCACACAGACTTCCATTTTCTACTTTTTCTGAGGTTTCCTCTGGTCCTGGTATGAAGAATGTATTTACCCAAAAGTGAAACATTTTGTCCTAGGAAAAAAGAGAGAAATTAAATGAATACCCAAGGAATCATCAAAAGAGAGAATGCCTCATTTGGTATTATGAATAAAGGTAAATACAAGAGTTAGCACTTGCTAATCTAGGCTATCTGTTGCCACGTCATTTATTTTTACTTTATTCAAATTGTAGACAAATTATGCAATACCAAAAGTTCTATCTAATCAACTTTCATCTACAAATCTTTAGTAAAATATCTCTGACAATTAATAACAAATAACTTTGTCACATTTGGTATCCTAAATTATCATTTAAATCTTTTATCTTAATTTATTTTAAATCTTGTAATTTTCTGTAGATGATGATTAAATCCTTACAAAATTTATGCTTAAATCTCTAGGCAATTTTATATATGATAAGTCTGAAAAAAATAAAATGTTAACTTTTCATCAAGTCACTGAATTAGTAACTATACACAGAATAAGATAATGCTTGTTCCTTAAGTCTACTAATTATGGTAATTTTTTAAAATCACAGCATTTATTTATTAACAAGGGAAATGACAAAAAAAACTTTTAGCTTACATAATCAAGATATACAAATATACCAGAAATACACTAGTGTCAATTTTACATATGTTAATATAGATTAAGACCAGATAATAAAAAATACACCCTAGAGAAATAGATAAAAAGTGTTTATTTTTATGAGCAAAAGTACTTAATTCTGTATGCAAGCGCCGCCTCATAATAAGTGAAAACGGGGCAAATACATACTATTTCATTTTAATTTTAATATTTGCTACCAATTCTTGAATCTTAAAAAAAACCCTGATTTTTCAAGGTTACTGAGGTATATAGAGATAGAAAATGAGTTTCTATGAAAACATTGTCATTATCAAGCTCTTAAGTTTCTGAGCAAAATAAATTCCATTTTTGTCTAATATATAAAACAGACTTTAAAATTTATGCAGTAAATGAAACTTGCTTTCTTATTAAAAAAGAAAAGTGGTATGTGAAATCAACTGTATTACTAAGAATGTCTAACTACTTTTTAAATTATTATCTACAAAGTTCACCCTTAGGGCTCACTTTAAATGTTCTCTTAGTATTTAAAACAAAGTAGTTTCTTTTAAAAGAACTCTTTTACTCTCTAAATACAGCTCAGTAAGAGTCAAACTTCACTAATATTTTTCTAAATTTGCTATTTAAAGTTATTCCCTAAGCAAAAATGCAAAAATGAGATTCCTGGCAGTGAGTTTCAGAATTTGTAGATAAATTTGAATGCATACATCTCTTTGTATTTAGTCTTATTTTAGTACAAGAAGAGACTCAAAGTCTTTTCAATGATTTAAAAGCTGCATGTGTAACAAATGAAGGGGACTGTGATGAAGACTATACACAACATTAAAGGACAAGAACAAGTTGTCCATAAATTAGATATTTGTGACCCAGGAACTGCCTGTATGCCACATTTTTCCATTCTTCATTACTTCCTCTTTACATCTAATCTTCTAGTTAAAAATGAAATATCCAGTAAATTTGGGGAAGTGAAATATAAAATAACTTTGTCTCAAGAAACACTCAACCAAAATGGGGGAAAAAGTGATTTGTATCATTACACAGAACATGAAACAGATGTTATTTCTATCTATAATTTTTTTTAAAAAGTATAGTTCCATGCTTGCTCCTTCTCAGTTAATCAGTCGTTCTTTCTAAGAGTCTTTTAACAGAATAAATGAGGTTGTATGCTATCTTTAATACTTTTACAAAATTTTACTATATAATCGAAGTTAAAGGAAAATAATTTCAACGTACAATACCACATGGCCTTTTCCTTTAACCATTTAAAACCATTTATTTACCACCTTATTAATTCTTAAATGCCACAGGAAACAAAGCATCTGTGGATCTAACAGGAAACTAATTTCAATTTACCAGATACCAGTCACAAAATAAACCCATTTTTAACCCTCTCCTTAACAAAAACTTTCAGTAAAAATTCTTAGGGTATTCTTAAAAGTATGACAATCTTGGACTTTTTTTTAGACTTAAAAGTAAAATTCAAACCTTTTTTAGCATCTTGTTCTGTTTGTGGAAGAACTCTACTTTAATGTCACCACACACAGGTAATGGCTGAGGAAATTCAAAGTACATGAACTTGTCTTCCCGACGTGTGGGTCCTGAAGTGGAGGAATATATCTTCACCTTTAGCTGGCAGACCACGAACTGAGGATCTGCAGGGTTAAATACATACTAGTATCAATACTCAAGAAAAGTGAGTCAAACTACTGAAAACTACTCTATGGGTGGACAGTACTGGCAATATATATATTACGGTAGTTTTATATTTGTAATCCTTACCTAAACCAAGTACACAGATACCAATTAAATTAAAAATTAAAATCAATTTAAGGTTTTATGTAAGTTTTTTATGCATTTAAAGCTTATGATGTTTCAAAACAGAGAGCACTGGTTAATTGGTTTGAAAATAAATTCTTATTTAATAAACCATTTCCCACCATTAGTCTTATAGCAGTTTGTTGCTGCTGTGTGTCACTGATTGGAACCAACTCACAGCTGGCCCTCCAGCAGGTTTTCAGAGGCAATTAATTGAGAAGACTGCCCATCCTTCTCCCATAGAGCAGCTGGTAGACTCAAACCCTATGCCTCTGGGTTGACACTGCAGCTCCTTACCACTAGGCTACCAGAACTCCCTTACAGTTGTATAGTAATAGCAATGCTTTAACATGAAAAGGGTGCTAAAAATCATGACATAAATTAAACATTAAAATGCAAAAATAATTTCCTGGCACATTTGTAAGCTACATAAAAGGTAGCTTTTTAAACCGTTATATGCTACTGTATTTTAAAGCCTCTACCAAAAAACAAAACCATAAAATACAAATCCTTACATGCTCACAAAAAAATGAGCCTGCAGCAAAATTACAATAAATCCATCAAGCAAATCTAAACATTTACAAAAGATTAAACCACTAGCCATCAAATAAAATCCAAATCATAGCAACTCCATGTGTATCAGTTAGAAATGGCTTCACAGGGCTTTCAGCAGCTGACTGTTTAGAAGAAGGTTGTCACTGACACCTCTGGGTAGACAAACTCCATTTTGTTAACTAACTGCTATGTTGGCTTTGGCCCATGTCTGCTGTACTTGGTTAAACCTCTCAAAAGTCACCACGTTAATTATTAGCAATTCAACTAAATGTAATAAAGGTAAGGAATCAACTAAATATGTCAAGGTAAGAAATTTATTTTAAAAATCTATTCTTAACTACATTTAGACCTAATAACATTAATGATAGAGAGTACTTTAAAGATCTGTGACCATTAAGAATCTAGACCTATAAAAACTTTTAAATTATCTAAATAATGAGGCAAAGCACAATTCATTTGAAGTACACTGAAATCAAAACAAAGAGGAAAAAATCCTTAGAAAGGCAGGCTTGGGTTTTGAATAAAACATAGAATACAATCAAGAAAAAGAAACACTAGCTTGTATGAAGCATATGAAAACACATGTATCTTTTAAAATAGATAAAATGCTAGTAAAAGGACCATTATACTCAAGGAAAATAAGTTTCACATTCAATATCAATATGACTAATAACTTGAGATCACATCAAAAAGCTAAGCTAAGTAAGCCAAGCTAAATGGTATTTCCAGTTTAATAAATACTTATTAGCTTAACCATATAATATCTAAATCTGTATTAACAATCATGTAATAGTAAATAGTACATTTGATCAAAATGTGGGATTAATGTAAGAATTTGAATATTTTATGGATTTAAGACACTCATCACGAGAAAACAGGGAGCTCTGGTGGCCTAGAGGTAAGGAAGCTGTGCTGCCAATCAAAAGGCACATGGTTCAAATCTACTAGCTGCTTCACAGGAAATGGATGGTCAATCCTCTCCTGGGCAATTTACATTCTCTGAAAACTCACTGGAGAGTCAGTTATGAGCTGATTCTGACTTGACAACACAAACTGACATCATTATGAGAAAAAGCTAACCCATGAAATGGTATCATATAAATCATCATAAATTTCATTTCTTCCACTAAAGATTCAAAATAAGTAGGCAATTTTATAAGATTTATAGGATATTGATAATTTCACTGGAATTCTAGTTCAAACATGCAAACAAGTAAGATTTCAAAACAGAAAATACCTTGTCATCGTATCAATCCTAATTCTACTAACTTAGAACCTGATGATACTCCTGACTTGAGAACTTTAGAACTTTAACAAATTAACTGTATAAACCAAAAGTTTAATAGAGCAATATTTAAAAAAATTTACCTTCAAGCATTTTAGAACTATATGAACAATTCATAAGCTAACTACAAAATAGTTCTCAGAATTTCTCCTAAAATACTAAGCGTGCACACGCACACATACACAAAATTTTACCAAAAATAAGTATAAAAGCTTCAACTACTAAAGAAGATACTTTCCATAAAATATTAAGTAATCGCACACTCAATTCTGATAAAAGGAGCTCTGGTAGCCTAACGGTAAGAAACTGCACTGCAATCCCAAAGACACACAGTTCAAATCCACCAGCTGCTCCACAGAATGATGGGCAATCTCCTCACGTGAAATTAAATGCCTCAGAAAACTCATTGGAGGGTCCCCTCTGGGTCAGATCTTACTTGATGGTACTCAACAAAGAGACTGGTAAGACTTACCAGAGCCCAAAAGAGAGTATGAGTCTATATTCTGTTCTATATCCTTTGATCTTATTGATTATGCTTTAAAAAAATAACTCTTATCTAAACAGAAATCAGATTTTAATGATCTTGGATATGTGGGAGAAATATCCAGTCCTGAGAGAAAAGCCACTCTGACCATCCTTTTTTTAATTATTAATCCATTTTTGTGTACAAAATACAGTTAGCCTGCCTTTACAGGCATTGTCTTAGAAATATTAAAACAATAATATTTTTAAAAGGTGTTGATCCTTGACAAATTTTCAGAAGATACTTTAGTTTCCCATTATTTTTGCTTTGTTCACTAATTTCCTCTTACTTCTGAAATCAAATAACTGCCACTCCCCTTTTCTCAGTGCTCACCCTCTGCTTTACTCCAAGCTCTTTTATCCCACACCCACACCAGATTAATACAGAAGTTCAACTTCTAGAAGTTCAGTGTCTCTTTTTTGATGTTTCCCTAAAATATCAGCTACTTCTCTCAACTAAGATTCAAGATTACTCTTCAAGTAACAGTATCCTCATGTGAATAAATGACCTTTATTTGTTTTAAAATATGTTTAACCCCAAAGTAACAATTGTTACTCCACTTTCCTTTGACTATTTCACCTGATTAGATAGGAGACAAATTTTGACAAACACCTTTGGATATGTTAAAAGAAAACTAATCAAATTCACATCTGACTGTCCTGTCACATTTAGCTTAAGGCAAATCACATAAATGGCTTACTTTCTACTGTCTTCTTCCCTCTTGTACCATTTTCTGTAAAATGGTCCTGAATACATATGACTCTGAAATACTTAATGAAAACCAAGTTCAACATACCCTGCATGCACAGTCCTCCAGCAGTCAATGAAACATTCCACTCCAACTTTACTCTCTATAACTACATTTCTTAACCAGCTGACTTCAAATTCAAGCTATTTCTTATTCCCTGTAACACTTCCTTCAGTTATACTGCCAATCTAAATAGTATGGTTTCTCCCATGTTCAAAAAAGACCTGCACTTCTTTCATGAAACTAAGTGACAACCCTCTAAAAATGTTATTTTTCTGAATGCAACCTTCATAGTTCTAGATGCAACCTCCCATTTTACCATATATTATTTGCTTATAATGCATCTTTATTAGATAATCTGAAGTCACAGTGTATGACTTTCAGAATTAGAAAATGAGAAAAGATTCAAAGATTCCAGTAGTCATCTTTAGGAACGAGACGTTTAAATATAATACTGGGTGGGGGGAAGGTCTCAAAGGCAGAAAGGCAGAACAGAACTAATCTAGATCTTTGCTAGAAATGTTGAACAAATGGGAATAAAATCATTACCAAAGAAATTATCAGTGATTCCCTCTCTCTTTGCCAGGGATGTTAATGTGAATTAAACAAAAAATTATTAAAGATTCCCTCTCTTACTCTTCCCACACTACTCTGTTTCCTTTGTCAATCTTACATGAACACCTAAACCACAGGCAGCACATGGGGAGTTGTTTTCCCTTCCTTTTTCCTCAAATTTGTTAACTTTCCAAGGAAATTTTCTCCAGAAGACTAGTGACATGCACTCAGCAGCTTGTTTTAAAAAAATGTAGTGATCTGATAAAGCATCAATAAAACTACTCAGAAGCCTTTTAGCATACTATATTAACAATTCTGTGGTTTGATAAAGTTTCTTGTTATATGAATAGAAAAGATCTAATGAAAATGATCACAGGTATCAATGAAGGTAACAAGGTCACTAAATTAATTTTCTGATATAAAGAATGATAAAAATTTTAGTTACATTAAATATATTTCCTATACATAAAAAATGTAAGTGTGATCATTTCCTAGGTAGAATCAGCACTGTAAAACTGTTAAAGAAACAAAGTCAACAGTCCCTTTTGCATATCCCTCTTTGACCACACTGTGCAGGCACAAGTGTTAAGTTTTCTACCGGTCTAGTCACAAGATCTGGCCCAAATAGCAGAGAAACCAAACAGGATCAGGATAACTGCAGTGGGTGTTACAGAGGTTATGGAAAAAGAGAAGGACTGTCATCAACAATATCTCTACTTATCTAACAGATTCAGATCTCAGGGATCTCTTCACTCTATTGATAAAAGCAAACAAAGCAACAGATGATGTGTTCATGCAGATCTAAGACTAAAACTCCAACCTAAACCCAAGCTCTTCACAGCATTCTATATACTTTTATTCCTCACTCATTGCATTTCCATGTACAACAATGTTTCAGTGTTTCTTTTCCCCTTCCTTTTATTGTCATTGTCACTATTAATGTTATACTAAAAAGTCAGTCCCTGACCTGCTTGAGTAAGTAGCCTTCCTTGGTGACTGGGTGAACATCATCAGGCCTTAAGGTTAGCACTCCACTCTGCAGGAGAAAGATGGGCAATCTCCTCCATAGAGACTTACAGTTTCAGAGACCAGATGGAGGATGAGTAAGAAATGTCTTGATAGCAGCAGATTTGATTTTTTTTAAATTTTATTTGGTTATTCTAATATCAGTAAATTGAGGAATCCTACTGTGACTTTCATGCTGGTCTTCTAATGAAATCAAGTTCTACAGGTATCTGCTCAGAATTTAGGTGGCAGTCAGTTATTACTGTAAAGACTATTTCTTTCAAAAATATAAACTAACCCAAAAAACATTAAAATCCACTGCTCTTGGCTTGAACTAACTAGTTCACACATTTCAGATATATACTAGCCTATTAAACTGATATTTAAAATGTTGTCAATTTCTTTCTAGAGTTTTAAATAAATGTCCAGCTATACTGAGAAAAGTTTTCTAACACCTGGAAAAATAAGAATTTAAAGCACTTACTGCAAGTTCCGCCACTGAACATTGGAATAGTTTCAAACATCATCTTGTGAAACAACAGTGCCACTGGTCTATAATCCAGATGATTCTTTAACAGGTAGCTATAATAATACACATAACGCCTCTGACTGGGAATAGTTACTCCCTGGTGAACAGAAAAAAGAGCCAAATTCAAAAGAAAAGTTCCATTAAAATTATTTCACTAAACTGCTAAAAGTAATAATTGGGTTGTACCCATAAACATTACAAATTTTACTTTAAATGCAGCTCAATTTAAAACGTAATAGCAGTATTAACACAAAAGTCATCAAAATAACTTTTCTTCCTTTAAAACATAATTTTCATAACATTTCATTTACTCAATGGTTACAAACAGTACTCTGACCAACGAACTCCAAAAGTAAGGACAACTCCATATCCAAAAGAACTGACAAAGGCCTATGGACTAAGCCGAGCTCTTCATTTCAATGACTCCATTCAAAAGATTTATGTATTCTAATTATATCCCCAAATTCTCATCAACTTGGTTGTCCAGGTAAACAATAATAGAATCAGCTGATATACAGTTAGAGGTCTACTGCCTTTAGAAGGCAAATAAAGTAACAGAAAAGAGTGATGTTAGCTTTACAATCCATTACAATAAAATCCCATAAAAGAGGTACATAAAATCTCTGTGCTATGTATCTTTCTTGAAGAAAACAGGAAAGTATATTTTATAGAAAATTTAACTATTGTAAATGCTAAAAACAGATACGATTAATATTGCAGGTATTAAAAGGGGAAATCTGAGCTAAAGAAAACAATCTAATAGGGCTATTTCGCTAGATTTTCTTTTACACAGCAGAACTTCAGAAAAACTCAAGCAAACAACAGAGGATTAAGAAATCTAACATTTAATGATAACCTGCAAAATAACTGTACTTTAAATAAAACTATACTCAAAAGTAAAATCAACCTGCAATACTTCTCTTTAAGTCAGGACTGGCATCCCTATATCCCAATGTGCCAAAAGTACTGCTTGCCTGAATCCTTAATTTTCCTCCTTACTGAAAACACATACAGCACATTTAAGTGAGTTTAAAAATTGGTATATTGATTGGCAGATATGTAGATATTCCCTGTAGTATTCTGAGTATTTTTTTCTTAAGGTTAGAAAAATTACAAACAAGAAAAATGTAAAGTGTAAAAACACGGACAATGAATCATTTCAAATCATGACAATTAACCTAAGATTTTAGCTATATTGCAAAGATACTCAACAGGTAGTCAAAACACTTGAGCTTTAATGCTGATGTCACAATAGAAATTATGGCTTCTTCCCTCAGGAAAATGAGGACAGTAATACATACCTTATTTTCTTGACAGGATTCTCATGAGTAATCAACACCAAATGTAGTTATAAAAAAAAACCCTAAAACTACAAAATGATACACAAATACTACAGTTTGAGAAATGCTATCTATATTTAAACTATGTTCTAGAATTGCTGAGATTTTTATGTATTTTTCTCAAAGCAATATAAAGTCATTTAAAGAGCTGTAACGAAAAATTATCATTCAATCTAAAAAGCTCAAAATGACAACTATAAATGATTTATTATTTTATGCCATCTCAGCAAACATTTATCACTCATATTTATAAAGAAAAGATACAGAAGTTAAACAGGTAAAAGGAAACGACAGAAGAAACTTTTTGAACCATGTCAATTTTTTAACCATATGAATCTATGATGTAGTCACAATATTAAGACAATGAAAGTGTCTATGATGGTCAGTTTATTTATTGAGATTTAAGGATGTAACACATGAAATGTTGGTTTTACTTATTTATCTCCCGCCATCTGTGGCATAAAGCAGTGTTCAGGTTTTCAAACCTTTAACTTTCCTCAAGTATGGACCGGTCAGTAAACTTCTAATGCATGTGTTATTCACTTAATTAATCTTTATCAAAAAAGTTCCGCAAATGTATAGAGAAAGAATAAACTAATCTATTAGTTCTCTATGATAGCAGCTTAACCAAAAGTGTCAAGACAAAAGCATTAAACCAAAACTATAGGTAAGATTCAAAGAAAGCCACTGAAAGCATGGTTGTAATTGAATTACTTGATTGTCTTACGCATATAAAAAGAAGGTTGAAAATTAGTTTTATTATTTAAGCAGGAACTTTTACACTAAACTGGGCTATGCCTATATGCTAGAACACTGAGCTCTTCTACTTCATTAACTCTCCTTTTCCATCTTAATTGTGGAAAAAATCCTTATATTTTGTCAAACAAAACTTTTCACACATTCTAATTTTACAAAAGTTTAGCATTTCAAATCAGGTTCCTTGCCACTAACTTAATGAAAGCCATTGCTTCTTTATTTCATTTCTGTTTACAAACCAGAAGGTAGAATTCAGAATTCTATTCAACTGTTAATTCACTACTCCATTCCAGTCCACCTTTCTACTGTACGTACTGGGTATCCAGTACATTAACTCTTTCTCCTGGTATGTACTTATTAAACTCTTATCAACTCTGATATTAGCACTTGGTTCTCTATCTATCTCTGCCAGATATCCTCAGTTAATTCAGCCAGTCCCTTCTTTAAAAGACTTTTAAGGTCATTTTATATAGCTGTCAAGTGGCGCTGAATTAACAACCACTTGTAAGTGAACAAAATGGCCTGAACTTTGCCTTAAACTGTACCTTCCTCATACCATGCTTAAGCCCATCGTTACAGTCATGTCAATCCATGTTGATGAGTCTTCCTTGTTTTCACTGACCTTTTACTTTTCCAAGTATGATGATGTCTTCTAACGACTGGTGCTTGCTAAGGGAGCTCTGGTGGGGTAGTCTGTAAAGAGTTGTACTCCTAACACAAATGTGTCACCTGTCTGGCATGTGGTATAAAGGAAGCATATCAACTATCCAGCACATAAATATATATACACAGACACTGACTTGAAGGCAAACCAGAGAATAAGCAAATTTGGGGGCGGGGAGGGAATATCAAACACCACTCATTTTTTTATTCCTACCTATCTAGTCAGTTCCTCCAATTCAGATACTGTCCCTGAAAAAAAGCTCTACAGTCATCACACCTGGTTTTCTATGATAGCAATTCTACTTCAGTTACCATCAGATTATGAGTCTTTTGGGGGTTTTTTTGGTTTGGTTTTTTTTTTAAATTATTAATTTCAATGAAAATTTACAGAGACTTTGGGTTTTCATTCATTCATTTGAACTTTTCTCCCCTCCCAATCCTCCCCCCTAGTACACTACCATCTTGGAAAAGTAGAAGAAAATTCTTTCATTGTTTTACAAACCCTCCCCCAGGTCCACTCCACTATGCAGTCTTCGCTCTGGACTCCTGTCATGACAAAAATACCTAATCACATATCCCTTTTAAATATAGTTTCCTCCCTCATCTGTTTCAATGCAGTATACATTATTGAACCCATCTTTCTCAGTCTCCCCCCAACCCCGATGTCAGTCCTGTTTTACAACAGTGGCACCATGCAGCATTTGTCCTTTTGTGACTGAGATACTTCACTCAGGATAATGTCCTCCAGGGTCACCCATTTTGAATAATACTGCATGAATTCCTTGTTTTTCAATGCAGCATAGTATTCCATTGTGTGAATATACCACAGCATCTCTATTCATGAGTCTTTTAATATTCTTCAATCTTTTACATCCCTCTTAAATTCATTTTAGAAAAGTAGATGATTAATTACATCACCAACTAATTGCTGGTATCTACTCAAATAAGAACACATTTATCAAACTATCATTCAATCATAACATAAAAATATAGCCCAAATTTTTTTCCAGTTCTATTTCCTGAAACTCCTTTTATATTCAGGCAAAATAAAGTACTGAAAATTGTACTTTCCTTTTAATAAGCTTTTTTTTGTTTTGTCACATTAAGGTATAAGTGTTATACTAGCTGCCACCTGGGAAATTTTACATATTCTCTAACACCTGAATCTGTTTGGATAACATAATTATGTGAGGTTTCAAGGTTTGATGGTAATCACCTAAAATCTAATTCACACTAGGTACTACACCTTGAGAAATCCTAGACATTTTCATTCTTGGAAGGACTCTTTAGATTTTGTATATTATCCTGAAGCATCTATGACAAAATTCTCATTAAAAATTATCAACTCCCCATTGAACTTTTTAATTTCATTGGCACAGAACTAACTATAATTTTAATATCTTTTCTACACAACACTTTTACCCCCTTTTTTATACCTGATGTCTCATATTTCACTATTCCTTTTCTCCCTCAAATGGTCTTTTTGGATTTATTAGTTCTAGTGGTTTACTATCTCTGAGTTCATAAATTTATATTTATATTTTTATCTCTAATAATTTCTTCTTAATTGTCTCTAACATTAATTTAACTTGAAAAAAAATAGGCATTTTAAATCACCAAGTGACTGATTTGATCTAGTTTAGCAGTTTTATAAAGTTTTACTAATATCATGAATGCATACTAACTGCATGATTTGAAGAATGTCACGATCTTTTTAGCTTTTATACCACCCATCTATAGAAGAACGTCCCAAGATTCAAGTAGGAGAGTGCCTTACCACTATGAAACTAATTATAAGTAATCCATTAATTACTGAAGCATAAACTGAATTTTTTCCCTCTCTCCAACATTCTTCCTCGATTTATCTTTGGAAAATATTACTGCCTCTGTGGTTTGGGGCAGGACATGGTTCATTTGTCAACTTTGGATAAATGACACAAGCATCACTGATCAAACCAAGAACCAGATATATTGTGTTCGAAGACATACTGGGTATATGACCCAATCCAGTAAATATCAATCTACAAGCTACTCTTCCACTCCATGGGCTAAAGTAGGTGAAATAAAAATCCTGAGTCACTATTATACATATCTTGTCATTATAGTGGAGAGCTTGCCTCAGAGTAACAGGAAAAGAGAACTGAAATTTCTAGTATCTGCTGAGCATCAAGATCTAAGATGGATATGTGGTGTTATATAAGCCAATAAATGTTCCCTTTTGCTTAAAATATTTTGGGTTCGGTTTCTGTGATTTGCAAGAGTCCAATTACCTTATAATACACTTATTTTTTTTCTTTTTCTTAATTTTCCATTTTCATTTTCATGATTAATTTTTAAG